AATCTTAAAGCTTTATATGATTAAATTCTAAGAGAATGGTATAAATAATATTTAATCTCACAAGTAGCATTAATGCAATTTACAGCTTAAATGGTTCATGTTATTTTAGTAATTACATTAGAACTGGGCATGAAAAAGAAATCCTCTTTTGTCTAAGTTTTGCTTCATCTTATGAAATTAATTTCTTAATTCCCGTAAATTATCATTTGTAATTTGGACATCTTTTAAATCTGAGCACTTCGTTAGAGTGATTTTATCATACAGCTCCACTCTTATTTATACGACACAGAAGTATTCAATTTTCATTGAATACATATGTAACTTAATTTTCTTTGTTTCCTCCATTTCCCTATAGGGTTGTGCCCATCTGAATGGCTCAAATATCAAAAAAAGTGTTATTGGTTCTCTAATGAGATGAAAAGTTGGAGTGACAGTTATGGGTATTGTTTGGGAAGAAAATCTCATCTACCAATCATTCAGGACCAACTTGAAATGGTAAGTGATTTAGTGTCAGGGTTATGACATTAATCTCTGTGCAGTTAAAAATGGTATTCCTCAAGACAATTATCATATGATCTCACTCATATGTAGAATTTAAGAAACAAAACAGAGGATCATAGGGGAAGGGGGGGAAAATAAAACAAGACAAAATCAGAGAGGAAGACAAACCATAAGAGACTCTTAATCATAGACTCTTAAACAAACTGAGGGTTGCTGGAGGGGAAGGGGATTGGGGGTGGAGTAGATGGGTGATGTACATTAAGGAGGGATTTAGTATGGATTTATACATTTTTTTACTGCTTTGTTGATGTAATGATCACAGGGTGTTATGTGCAACCGATGAATCACTAAACTCTACCTCTGAAACTAATAATACACTATGTTAATTACTTGAATTAAAAAAAATTATGCTAAATGAATGAAAAACAAATGGCTTTCCTCAAGGGTGCCTGGGTGACTCAGGCAGTTAAGCATCTGACTCTTGATTTCAGCTCAGGTCATGATCTCAGGGTTATGATCTCAAGGTCCTGACATCAAGCTAATGGGGGCATCAGCTCCACACTCAGAGTGTGCCTGGGATTCCCTCTTTCCTTCCCCCTCTGCCCCTCCCCTCTCTAACACACACTCTCTCTCTCTCTCTCAGGCTCTCTAAAATCAATCAATGAATAAATGAAATCTTTTTAAAAAATGGCTTTTCTCAAATTTCTTCCCACCCTTCCATTAAATTATCATTTATCTCAATCATCGAGTTTTTGGCACCCTCCTAATTTTTGTGCTCAATGCCAGTGCTTCACTTGACTCATGCTAGTCCTGGGCTGAACATTCGTATTCAATTTACAAGTGATATATATGTATGTGTATGTATGTAATAAATATATAGTGTGTGTAAATAAGTTATGAATTGATTAGTATAAGAATATTCATGTAGGATGCTAATTGTCCAATAAAATTCTAAATCTTAATTAGTATGTCTACATTATTAAAATATTCTGTTCACTTAGTTACTCGTTACTTTTTAGGCTTTTATACAGAAAAACCTAAAACAAACAAACTATGTGTGGATTGGGCTTAACTTTACATCACTGAAGAGGACATGGACCTGGGTGGATGGTTCTCCATTAGATTCAAAGATGTGAGTCCAAAAACACTGTCTGATTTACTGTCTATTGTAGAACTTATCTCCATAAAACACCTCTAAGTCCACCAAAATCAACTCTGAAATAATTTTGATACTAAGGAATTTGAAAGGATGAAAATTGATTTAATGTTCACTGGAATAATGATGGATATTTTGGTTTTGTTTTCAAAGCAAAAAGATTTGAAAACAGTAATCATTGTGCATTTATTGTTTAAAGACTACACCATATAAAAAAATGGAAAGAAGACTAGAACAGAGATATGGACACAGATTTACTCTTAGCTCTGTCATTTCTAACAGACTCTCTGGGAACTCTGTGCAAATCACAGAGAATAAGACTAAGTTACAGAGATATTGTAACTTTTAGTGAATCAAGGGATTTGAAAATGCCCTAAAATCTGAATGGCCTTTCAATTAAGGGAGGGTATTAGTTGAAAACCCAAATGGATGTCTTTGGCAACAATGATTAACAATGAATTTATCCCTTCTTCTGCAGATTTTTCATAAAAGGACCAGCTAAAGAAAATAGCTGTGCTGCCACCAAGGAAAACAAAATTTATTCTGAAACCTGCAGCAGTGTTTTCAAATGGATTTGTCAATCAATCAATAATCAATGATCAAAGTTTTTTTGCCAATTAGGTTCTAATATTAATCTTAAGGAGTAAGAATTTAAAACTACAATTAAAAAATAGAATTGCAATTAAACAACAAAATGTCTTCTCCATCTTCCCTCCATCATCTACCTTGGTTCTAACCTTAGAGTACCCCATGTAAACAATCTAAAATATTCCCTTTCAATGTTTTACGTGGTAATATAATCCAGTGTGAGTCCATGCGTTCATACTCAAGATTTTTATTCATTTTTCATTTTACAACAAATGTGGTCAAATTATACCTGCTTTTCTGTATTGTGCTTGTTTAATTTGTAACAATATCCTATGCAAATTTCATATAATTCTGAGTTGTGCTTTAGTATGGATTTATACATTTTTTTTACTGCTTTCTTGATGAGCATTAACTTTGTTCTCAAGTTTTTTCTACTGTAAACTATGCTGCAGTAAACGTTCTGAATATCTTTTTAAAAAGTAATACCTGTTATTTCTTTGATATAAACCTTAAAACTGGATTTTATGACTCAAAAGCATTAACTATGTTGTTTTCTTTAGATTTTATACAATTTTAATCTAAATTTAGAAACTATCATAAACATAAAATTACAGGTACAGCCCAAAAGCACTTTCCTTCTTCCTGAACCTCTTGAGAATTACTTGTCAGATTGATACATTTTATTATAAAATTTCAAGTATCATTGGATACTTTTGTGTACATTTTCTACAAAAAAATCTCTTACTTAATCACAAATAATGATCAAAATTAACAAACTAGCACTGACACAGTGCTACCATCTAATTCTCAGACTCTCTTTAAGGTTTGCCAATTGTCTCTAGAGTAAAAGATCCAGCTCAGAATCATCTTCTGCGTTTAGTTATTATGTCTCTTTAATCTCCTTAAATCTAGAAGAGTTCTTTAGCCTTCCTTGCTATTCACAACTTGACACTTCTGAATACTACAACCAGGTTATTCTGCAAAATGTTCTTCCATTTGAATCTGTCTGATTATTTCTCATGGTTATATTCAACTGCTCCTTGGCAGAAACAGTGAGAAGTTCTCACTGCATCCTTTCCAACGGCACACACATTTATTTGTTCCATTGTTGATGCTATTGACTTTGTTCACATGCTTAATCTGATGTCTATCAGACTTCACTGTAAAGTTTCTCTTTTCCCTTTGTAATTAATTAATATTTTGTGGACAGTGACCAAGATGGTTTTTACATTCCCTTCAGCTTAACTAAATTTTAGAAAAGCTTTGTTCTTCCTGACCTCCTCATTTTTAGACCATTTACTTGAGGAAACTTGTAATTGGAAATTCTGTCTCCGCTTCTTTGAGATGCAAATCTTTCAAAAAGCTTTTTAAAGGCTTTTCAACCCAGAAGTGTCTCTCTAAAGGACCAGAGAGTCATTCCTTTGAAATGTAATCATCAAGAAAAGTAGCACCTCTATTTCTTAGTTTCTGTGGGAAGGTAGGAGGCTAACTTCAGTGGGCATCTAGATCCAAGTTGTAAAACTCTCTCCTATCATGAAGACCTGAAAAAGTTTAATTTGCCTCTGGGTACAGCTGTTTAGCAGACACAGATGGTGTATGATCTCCTCCCTCGCCCCAGCTCTGCAAAACCTTGCTGTCCTCTGTTTCAGCAGATTTTAGTTCAGACCGAGTTCTCGCCTATGTCCCTATTGTCATAACATTGAATGAAGTCTTTTCCTGTGTAATATTGTTTGGTGCAATTTTTGCTTTGACAGAAGGTACTTTTAGACTTTGTAAATATCCCATTCTTCATCAGAATCTCAGTGTATTCATTTTTGTATTTGTATCTTTGTGGACTCTCATTTTCATATTTTGTTCAATTTGTATACTCTATTTTGACTCTCAACTTGTTCCAGACCTAGTCACAAAAGTTACCCTTTGAGGTGACATTGCTATCCTTGATCTCCATGATCCTTTGCTGGTGTGTAGTGTTGTTTATTTGTTTTGTGGTAATAACCTTAGCAGAATGCCAGTAACCATTTTCACCAATGTTTGAACTGATCTTTATGTTCGAGTCTGATTTCCCGTGACTCTCAAAGATTGGTGCTGGGGTACACTGATGATCACAAACCTAAATCTAATCTAAAATATGCACAAAATATGAACAATAATTAATTTTTTAGACATATTAAGCTTACCATTCACAATTTTATACCATAAATGTAAAACAACACATCTTCTTTGAATTATTGAAACAATAATCCCAATAATCCCCCCAGAGAAAATTTTAGGGCAATCACATTAATGAATTTAGGCATAGGAATATTAAAAAATAAATATCAGAATAAATCAACTTAGAATAAATATAACACCATAGCCAAGTTGAATTTGATCTAGGAATTCAAAATAGTTATTTAATATTAGAAAACTTTTGTCATTTACCACATTGAAAGATTAAGGAAGAACATCAAAATAGATGAAGGAAACAAAAACATATAAGAAAATTCAAAGTCCCTTTCTATTGAAAACATTTTTTTAGGAAACAGGAACAGAAAAGAACTGCCTTAACTTAAAAAAAGTGCATAAAAATGAAATAAAAGACTGATAGTGTTGAAATGTTAGAAGTGGAGTGCCTGGGTGGCTCAGTCAGTTGGGCATCTGCCTTTGGCTCAGGTCATAATCGCAGGGTCCTGGGATTGAGTTCCATGTCAGGCTTCCTGCTCAGTGGGGAGTGTGCTCCTCCCTCTCTCCTTATTGTTCTCTCTCTCTCTCAAATAAATAAATAAAATATTTTAAAAAAGAAGATGTTAGAAGAATTTTCTTTAAAATGTGAAACAAATTAATAATGTTCACTGCCAATATTGTCTTGGCAGTTCTACACATTTTAATTATACAAAAGTTAAGTAATAGTTCTAAGAAAAAATAAAACTTATTATTAGGTGCTATGTTTTACAATATTTAAAAGAATCCACAAATTATTAGAATTATGAGCTTTCAGAATATATGTTGAACAGGAGAAGAATAACACAAAGAATTACATTTCCATATATAAAAGTAACTATTACAAAAAATAATAAAATTACATAATTACAACAACATAAACATCAGATACATTTAATAGGGACACATATAATAAATAACATGCAGTGACTGGTTAGAAAAACTATAAATCATACAAGAAGACAAACACCAATATAAGATATATATTATAAATGAATAAGAAATAATATTATAAATACAACACTTTCCAAATTGATCTATAAGTCCTGTGAAATTAATTACAGGAGTCTTCTAAAATTGATATAGAAAAGATCCAGGCCTTGAAAAGTAGAAAAATAAGTTGAAGGAAATTATTTTGACAATTATCAAGATGTATTATCAGGCTAGAACATTAAAGCAGTGAAGTGTTGAAAGTTAACTTATACAGAGGGAAAGAAAAAAAAGAATTACAAAATCATGGTACCCATGTTGCAATTCCACTATGGAAACATTAAGTTAGTGCATTTTCCTCCTGCAAATCCATTTTCTTTCTGTGTAGCATCTAGCTGTTGCTGCACCATCATCATCGAGGTAAGCACATTTTTCATTTCCTCTCACAGAAAACCTACGATAAAGGGATTAAACACCATGTACCAAAAAAAATCCTGTGATTTCTCATTTGCCCAATGACCCCATTTAAAAAAATATCTGTCCAGAGTCCTGAAAAAGTGTGCTGTGGCAGTGTCCTCTCTTGCTAAGGGGAAGATATCTACCAAATCAGACCATAAGAGTTCCTCTTCCAAGAATTTATACCTGTTAAACTGACGTTAAGATAGTTATGTGTAATCAGTGGAACTACCAGTTTATAAAAAACCAATAGTTCTTAACACAAGGCGATTTTGCTTTGTGTTCCCCACCCCACCCCCCAACACACACTTGGCCACATCTGGAGACATTTTGGGTTGTCATAAGTGGAGGGGGGGGGAGGACTGCCTAATAGGTAGAAGCCAGAGATGCTGCTAACATCCTAAAATGCACAAGACAGCACCCCCTCCCCACAACAAAGAATTATTCAGCCCAAAATGTCAGTTGTGTTGCTGTTGAGAAATTCTATTATAAACTAAGTGGCTAAGTGACTGGCAGTCACCATTTAGGGTGGTTATGTGGAGGTCATTTGTGCAGTAAATGTTACAAAGTGGAAGATATGAAGGCCAAATAAAATCAGGTAAAAATGAACAAGTTTAACTTGAACTGTAAAAGATGTAAACAAACAGGTAGCATGAAGTTTGAAGAATAGATATAAATTGGAGAATATAGGTTAAAATCAGGCAAATGTTTTTTGGATTTTTTTCTTTTTTTTTGGTCTGTGTTTATGAATCACCGGTCTTTATTTTCAAAATAACCAACTAAGATCTTCCCTCTTATATCCTGATTTCCAACCTCCCTGGTTGATTCTTGGAACTAATCTCAATACACGATACTGTTTTCCCTCTCATTTTTCCAACACACACCCAAACCTTGGGCTCTAGAGAAATGCAGCTAATGCAAAGGTTCTGGAGAAGGCTGTGCTATCTAAATTTAAATAATCCCCCAAAGAAAGAAACTCACCATTTGTTAAATATGGTTCCATTTACCCATCGTCCTGCTTGATTTTCTGTCATCTCCAGCCCAATCCAGTGATCAGAAGTGCATTTGTGTCGCTTAAGAAATGCCTTTAGAGATGAAATAAATTTTATATATTTTTTAGTTTTTACTACAACCTATTGTGTATCCCTTGCTTTGCAGGTTGTGAGGAGCAAGGCAACAAATGTTCAACTCCTGCTTCACCAGAAAATAGCAACAGGAGTTTGAGAAAGCATTTTTACCTTCTGACCCTTAGTTTTCTTACTTGTAAACAAAGATGTGAGATAAGTTTTCTTTAGGATACTGTTTGATTCCAAATTGATAGATATTCAATATGCAAATCTATTCCTCCAGGATTTTAATACCGTAAACTCCCAGAAAGCCAGCGTTTGCAACTGACTTCTTACACAGCCTTTCTAATCATCAGATACTTATTATAATGTTTTTCCACTTCCCAGTAAATACTACTATACTGATTTTAACGTTATATTTTACTTCAAATTCTCTCCCAAAAGGATCACATGGGCACGCACACAGACACACACCCTCCGTATATCCAATTCCTTTAGAATTTAATTCTCAAATTTTATTTTTCTGCCCCAAAATTTCTATTTCTAAAGAGATCATTCAGGGGAAAAATATAATTTTATCTTCATATTTCTCCATCTCTCCTTATTCATTCAGTGTTGAAATTTCTTGCTGCCTTGGGGCCTTTTTAACCACACAATTATATACAGAAAGTCATTGAGTCTATTATGCCACTAAATATCTGGGAAACCACAAACTTGACATTGTATCACTCCATGTTTCAATTTTATGATAAATATAAGGGATAAGTTCACAACATTATGGCCCATTCCTGTCTATAACAGTGACACTAATAATAACTTTTGACATTTTAATATACCATTTTCTGCAGCATTTCATAAATTTATTTGAAAAAAAAATTTAACTCATCGAGCTAAGCTTCGGGTTTATAAAAGAACAGATTAATTAAACACTGTCCCTGGATTCACAGGGTTTCATTTATAGTGAAGAAACTTATGTAAACATAGAGTTAGAAAATATCCTCCTGGATAAGGAGAAGAATGTGACTGTAATAAATACAAAGTGAAATTTTAGTTTATAAGACAGAAGTATCTGAATCTTTATAAGGCACTTGCATATAGGATGTGCTCTAAGAGGTGTATCTGGAGGGGAAGAATAGAATATTCCATAATAAATACAGACAACAAGAAAGAAGAGGACAATTCATATTCTAGGCTTAGGGAAGAGCTTGCCTGAAGGCAGAAAAAAATGTGAGAAAGGATAAATGTATTGACAACCAACAGTGTATATGTTATTGGATAACTGGGAAAACTGGATGAGTTTCAGTAGTTGTGGTCTTAGTGACAGGGAACAGGGATGTAAGTTTCCTAAAGCCTGTCCTAAGAAAAATGTTAATTATTATTTGCTTACTAAAAGAATACCCATGTGGCTTCTTGTTAAAGATGCAAGATAACTTTACATAAGTGGAAGTAAATATGAAAAATATTTCATGAAACAAGCTATATCCCATTTTAACTAAGGAAAACATTTTGTAATTTAAGTAAACATATATAATATTTTAATTAAGTTGTTTTAAATAAACACTCCTTTAAAATTCTTCTATATATTATTTTTATCACTCCTTCACAGACAGCTTTTCCTCATTTTGCTTGTCACTTAAATTTTGCCCAGATTATGTAGTAAATATAGGAATCTATGACTTCCAAAATATATCAGGAAATTGTAGGATCAAAGTCTCTTTTCTTGATTCAAAGAGTACGATCATTCTTAACTGATATGTTTAATGACTTCTCTTAAGTTCAAAACTAATTATTTTGGTATGCTTTGATCTTTGTGTTCTATGATATTCACTATTTTTGTCAGCCTTTGCTGACAAGATTCTTATAAGTGAAGATTTTTAAAATATTTGCCTTGTTAATTCTTTACCTCTCAAAATTTTTACTAGCACTCATTATTTTTCCATCTTGTTGCAAATTTAGACATTTTTCCCCAAGAGGAACTATAAAGGACAATTTAAGAATTTCTCAGAATGTTCATTGCAAAAGTCTTGCAAAATTCAGCAGTGAAACTACTGACTACATACAGAAGATCTTCCTATTAATTCGAGGCTGCATCTTCCTTGATTTGCTGTGTCTACTGTTCACATACCTAGTTTTTTGTTTTATTTGGATTTCTATACCTTTTGTTTTAATCAAAATAGTTGAGTTTTCTTGCACTATAAATTGTCCCTGTCCGGTTCACATCCATTTAAATTTGAACCAATCTTTGCGCAGATTACGTAAATGTATTTTATTGACCACAGAATTAAGAGAATTCTCTTTTAACAATTTTAAATGCTGTGCTGTGCTGCTTAACATTTTAAACACTTAACTGAAAATTATTCAAGTTATCTTACTGCTTATATTGACCCCTTACCAATTTTTTTTTTATTTGAGTATAGATGATGTACAATATTACATTAGTTTCAGGGGTACAACATAGTGATTCAACAAATTTATGCATTATGGTACACTTATCTCAAGTGTAGCTACCATCTGTCACTTACACAAGACTATTACAATATCATTGACTGTATTCCCTATGTTGTGCCTTTTATTCCTGTGACTTATTCTTTCCATAACTGGAAGCCTGTACCCCCCACACCCCTTCACCCATTTTGCCCATCCTATCACCCCTTTCCCTCTGGCAACCATCAGGTTGTTCTCTGTATTTCTAAGTCTGATTCTGATTTTTGTTTGTTTATTCATTTGGTTTTTTTAGAATCCACATATGAGTGAAATCATATCTTGACCCTTAACTTTTAAAGAAACTAAACAAAAGTAAAAATGTATGTTTATCACATAAGTGATTCAGGGGAAGAACAGATTTCACAAGTGCAGAAGTATGTAGTTTCACAATCCTTTGTTAAAGTTCTAGGATATTTCCTTTACTTATATAGGATTTTTGCCATGTAAATCAATATTTATTTTAAAAAGGGCCATTAAGCTTTTAATTTGTACCTGCCTTTATGGTATAGCAAATGTGGCAACTTCAAATAAAACATAGTGTGTGTTCAGTGGAAGCTCATGCTTCAGTCTCAGACTTTCAGTTACATATCTATTCAATTACTGGTAGTGAGTGCTCTGATGGAAGCTGCTACGGGACCTCAGAGGAGCGAAGCAGGACTAAGTCAGAAGAAGTTTCCTCAAAGGGGGTAGATTGGAGAATCCCATCCTTCCTAAAACAGTTGTCTTTATGGAGTACTGACTTTTAAAAGGATTCCAAATATTATCAAGTTCTTCTATTTAAACTCCTTAAAATACAAAGATACCTGTCAAGTCTACTACTTGATAAAAGTCTTAACTATTCAAACCAAACATCACCAAGTTTTTCAACTGCATCTCACATGGCATGTTCTAAAAATCTTCTGCATAGACAGACATGTGAAAAATTTTAAAAATCATATTACCATTTGAATATTCCCAATGCCCCTACTTAAGAAATTGCATAAGAATTGCGTATCAAATTACCATTTCTTCCTCAGTGTCAATCATAGTTAGATCAGCACGTTGAGTGACACAGTTGTGTCTACTTGAATTCCAATCCCCTTCTTCTTTAGAGAAATAATAGCATTTGTTTTGGAAACTAATCCAATCATCTGGGCAGGAATCCTGAGTACTCGTAAATGCTAAAAGTGGAAATGAGACAAACACATACATTAAGGGCCAGATAAAATAATATGCCTCTGTATTTTGAGATCAATGGGGAAAGACAAGATTGTGATGTAAGTTTTTGATCATGACCAGAATTGCATATCTATCATGCAACAAGTTGAAAGACAAATTTCATGTTAGGTTAAATGACAGCAGTTCAGGATTTGACAGGACACTGATATTCCTTTCAACTTCAACTTGTGATACATCATCCTTTGTAGGGCTACCAGTGTGATTTTACTTGTGTTAAGTCACCTATATAACTTTTGGGTAAGTGAAATATAACAAAATCCTAGCATTGTCTGGGGGTAATAAAAATACTAATTTATATTAGACTGTTATAATCTAGGACACATGTTTTAATTTCTAAGGAAGCAATTAAAAGAATAAAACAGAATATATAATTAACAATATGTGTGTTTGATTGCTTATTGTCAACTAAGTACCACTATCACTGTATGGCTCTGAGTTAGATGCTGAAAAGAACCCACATGAGATTTTGAAGGTGGAAGTAAAGCAGAAATTTTTATCCTGGGAGACCTAGGGCATAGGAACTTCACAGGCCTTTTAAAGAGTTTGCCTTTGGTAGTCTTGGCAGCTAGATGTATTTTTAGACTTTCCTTTAATCTTTGGTTCTACAAACTCATTAGCACTTTAAGCCAAAATCATTAGTGACTATTTCTCCTCCAGCTACACAGCTTTCCAGACCATCACTCCTCAACTACTTCCACAGTGATGTTATTCCTAAATCCCATATTAAAGTCCTATTCTTGTAACATTTTTCAGTGTCTATTTTCCTGAAGGCACCCAGAGTGAATCAGTTTTGGGTACCAAAAGTGGGTCTAAAGGAACAAAACCTTAAGGATGAGATACGGTACTTATTGTCCACATGATTCACTTTAAAGGCATTGATTCAAACACCAGTCATAAATGGGATGCTGGTGATCTATGGTATGTGAAGATAAAACAAATTATCACCTACAGTCTTCTGATGCCAAGTACCTTAGAAGGTAAAACTTTTAACACCTTTTTCTTTTTTCAATTTTAATTCCAGTTAGTTAACATACATTGTTATATTAGTTCAGGTGTACAATATAGTGATTCAACACTTCCATGTATCCCCCCCATGCTTATCACAAGTGCACTTCTTAATCCTCATCACTTATTTAACCCATGCCCCACTTCCCTCCCCTCTGATAATTATCAGTTTGTTCTCTATAATTAAGAGTATGTTTCTTGATTTCTCTCTCTCTCTTTTTTCCCCTTTGCTTGTTTGTTTTGTTTTTTAAATTCCACATATGAGTGAAATCATATGGTATTTGTCTTTCTCTGACTGATTTCACTTAACATTATACTCTCTAGCTCCATCCACCTCATTACAAATGGTAAGATTTCATTCTTTGTCATGCTGAATTATATTCCATTGTGTATATATATATCACATCTTTTTTATCCATTCATCTATCGATGGTTCGCAAGGGCTACTTCCACATCTTGGCTATTGTTAATAATGCTGCTATAAACATAAGGGTGCATGTACCCTTTGAATTAATGTTTTCATATTCTTCAGGTAAATACCCAGGAGTGTGATTGCTGGATCATAAGATAGTTCTATTTTTAAATTTTTGAAGAACCTCCATACTGTTTTCCGAAGTGGCTGCATCAGTTTGCATTCCCACCAACAATGCATGAATATTCCCTTTTCTCCACATCCTCACCAACACCTATTGTTTCTTCTGTTGTTGATTTTAACCATTCTGACAGGTGTGAGGGCATATCTCATTGTAGTTTTGGTTTACATTTCCCTGATAAGTGATAATGAACATCTTTTCAGGTGTGTGTTGGCCACATGTATGTCTTCTTTGGAGAAATGTCTGTTTTTGTCTCCTGCCCATTTTTAATTGGATTATTTGTTTTTTGGGTGTTGAGATTTATAAGTTCTTTATATATTTTGGATACTAACTCTTAATTGAATATGTCACTTGCAAAATATCCTGTCTCATTCCATAGTTTGCTTTTTAGTTGTGTTGATTATTTTCTTTGCAGAAGCTTTTTATTTTTTATTTTTATTTTTATGTAATTTGACACCTTTTTCTTTTTTTCTTTTTTTTAAGATTTTATGTATTCTTTTGAGACAGAGAGATACAGAGAGAGAGAGCATGAGCAGGGAGAGAGGCAGAGGGAGAGAGAGAAGCAGACTCCATGCTGAGTGAGGAGCCCCAATATGGGGCTCAATTTCAATACCTGAGATCATGACCTGGGCTGAAACCAAGAGTTGGTTGCTCAGCTGACTGAGCCAGCCAAGTGCCCCTACAAGTAACCATTCTTAATGGAAAAATATTTAAAAACTTTCTTATGGATTTAAGAAAGAGATAAGGATGCAACCCTAACTACTTCTCTTCAACCTTGTACTGGAAGTTCAATCCAGTAAAATAAGGCAATACACTGAAAGTTATAAAGATTTCAACAGAATAAATAAAAGTATTTCTATTTGCAGATAATCCGAATGCTTACATAAACTTCTAAATGAAGATTGGCAAGTTATTTAAATTAATAATTAACATAAAACTCACATTAACAAATTTAGAAGAAAAGAAATCATATGATGTCGGCTTTCAGATCACAATGGAATTAAACCAGAAGTCAATAACAGAAAGATAGATGAAAGATTTCCCAAAACATGTAGATAAAACAACAAAGGTCTAAATAGCACATGGACCAAAGAAGAAATCTCAAGAGAAATTTTAAAATGTTTTGAACTAAAGAAAAATAAAAACACAACTTATCAAAACTTGTGGGATGCAGTGAAAGCAAAGCTTACAGGAAAATATATAGTATTGAAAGCATACTTTAGAAAAGAAAAAGATCTAAAATCAATCATCTAAGTTTTCATCTTAAAAACTAATAAGAGAAAACTAAACTTAACTAAACAGAGGAAAATAAATAATAAGGATTACAGCAAAAATAAATGAAATTGAAAGTAGGAAATTAACAAAGAAAATCAACAAAATCAAAAGCTTGTTTTTTGATGAACAATAAAATCAGCTAGCTTCTACCCAGGTTAACTATGAAAAAAAAAAAGACTCAAATTAATAATATCAGAAATGAAAAAGAGGACATCACTACAGATCTTATGGAAATCAAAAGGATAATAAAGGAATACTATGAATAACAAAGTGACCCAAAATTTGATAACCTAGATGAAATGGACCAATTCTTTGAATAACACAATCTTTCAAAACTCAAATGAGAAGAAACAGACAATATGAATAGGCTATTAAAGAAATTGAATGAATAATTAGTACTATCCCAAAACAGAAAGCACCAGGCCCAGATGGGTTCACTGGTGATTTGTACCAAACATTTAAGGAAGAAATTATACTAATCCTCTACAATCTTTTTCAGACGATAGAAGCAGATGGGCTACTTCCTAACTCAATCTATGAGGCAAGCATTACCCTAATACCAAAACCAGACAAAGATAAAAGAAAGGGAAACTACAGACCAGTATCTTTCATGAACATAGATACAAAAATCCTCAACAAAATATTAGCAAATTGAATCCAACAATATATAAAAAGAGTTATATACCATGACAAAGTGGGATTTATCTCAGATCTGCAAGGCTGGTTCAGCATTTGAAAATCAATTAATGTAATCTATTACATCAACAGGCTATAAAGGAAAAATCATATGATTCATGATCCTATGAATAAAATACTTGACAAAAACCTAACACTCGTGACACAAACTCCCAGGAATCTAGGAATAGAGGGGGAACTTCCCCAACTTGAAAAAGACTATTTACAAAAATACCCTACAGTTAATATAATACTTAATGGTGAGAAACTGGAGGCTTTCCCACTAGAATGAGCTTTCCCTTCTCACCACTACTTTTCATTATATTAAAAGTTCTGTGTAATGCAATAATGCAAGAAAAGGAAATCATAGGCATACATATTGGAAAGGAGAGATGTTCAGAGATGACATGATTGTTCTATAGAAAATCCAAAAAAACTAAAAAACAAAACAAAACAATTCCTTTGTTCAGAGATGACATGATTGTTCTGTAGAAAATCTGAAAGAAGTAAAAAAAAAAACCCAATTCCTTGAACTAATAAATAATCATGGCAAGTTTGGAGGATACAGGTTAACATGCAAAAGTCAATTGTTTTCCCATGTACCAGAAATAAAGAAGTGTAATTTAAAATTAAAAATAAAATATGATTTACATTAGAACCCCCCAAAATTGAATACTTATGTATAAATCTAGTAAAATATATACTATATTATCTATATGAGGAAAAGTACAAAACTCTGATGAACAAAATCAAAGAAGAACTAAATAGTTTTTAGAAAGACATTCTATGTTCATAATTAGGAAGACACCATATTGTCAACATGTTAGTTCTTTCTGGACTTGAGCCATAGATTTGATGAAATCCCAATCTAGGCAGGTTATTTATGAATACCAATAAACTAGTTCTAAGATTTATATTGAGAAGCAAAAAGTACAGAATAGCCAACTTAATTTGGGAGAAGATAAAATTGGAGGACTGATACTACCCAACATCAAGACTTGCTATAAAGCTACAGTAATCTCTAAGACAGTGTAGTATCAATGAAAGAATAGACAAATAAATCAATGTAATAGAGAAGAAAGATCAGAAATAGACTCACACAAATGTAGTCACCTGAACTTGGACAAAGAGCAAAGGTAATATAATGGAGCTAAGACAGTCTTTTCAACTAATGGTGCTAGAACAACTGGACATTCACATGTCCACGCAAAAAAATGAGTCTAAACACAGACTTTACATCCTTCACAAAAATTAACTCAAAACATATAAAAAACCTAAATGTAAACACAAAACTAAACTAAAAACAAATGCAAATGTAAAAACAAACTAAATGTAAACACAAAACAAAACGAAAAAATTTCTAGAAGATTTCATAGAGGCAAACCTTAACAACCATGGATATGGTGATGACTTTTTAGATACAACACCAAAGTCACAGCCTATGAAAGCAATAATTGATAAGCTGTACTTCATTAAAATTAACCGCTTTTGCTCTGTGAAAAACAATGTCAAGCAAATGAGAAGACAGACCACAGACTGGGAGAAAGTATTTACAAAAGACTCATCTGATGAAAGACTGTTATCTAAACATAGAAAGAACACTTAAAACTCAACAATGAGAAAAGAAACAACCTAATTAATAAATGAATAAATGGTCAAAAAGCCTGAACAGACACCTCAGCGATGAAGATATATAGATGGCAAATAAATATAAGAAAATATGCTCCACATCACATGTCATCAGGAAAATGCCAGTGTAAACAATAATGGGATACTCCACACCTATTAGAACGGTCAAAATCCAGGACGCTGACAATACTGAATGCTGGCGAGGAGGTGGAGTAACAGGAGCTTCCATCCATTGTCAGTGGGAATGCAAAACAGTACAGGCACTTTGAAATACAATTTGGAGTTTTCTCACAAAACTAAACACATTCTTACCATACAATCCAACAAGTGCACTCCTTGGTATTTACCCAAAGGAGTTGAAAACTTCTGTCCACACAAAAACCTACATATGGTTGTTCACGCAGCTTTATTCATGATTGCCAAAACTTGGAAGCATTCAAGATGCTCTTCCATAAGTGAATAGATAAATAAACTGTGATACATCAGACAATGGAATATTATTCAGTGCAAAAAAACAAACAAAAACCTCTCAAACCATAAGACACGAGGGATCCTTAGGTACATATAACTAAGTGAAAAAAGCCAGTCTGAAAAGACTACATACTATATGATTCCAACTGTATGACATTCTGGAAAAGTCAAAACAATGGAGACAGTAGAAAGATTAGTGATTGCCAGTGGTTGGAGTTTGAGGAGAGATGAATACATGGGGCACAGAAGTCTTTTGGGGCAGTGAAGATGCTCTGTAGGATAACATAATGAAGGGTACATGTCATTATACATTTTTCCAAATTCAGGATGCACAACACCAGGAATGAACTGTAAAGTAAACTATGGACTTTTCAATAAATTGTTTCAGATCAAAAGGCTATTTGAATGAAGAAAAATACATTTGACATTATACCCAAACACTTACAACAATCAATTTCAAAAGCGTTATAGTTCTGGGTGTGAAATTAGTAAAAATATAATAAATGTTACAATGGAAACTCTAGAGTAATATCTTCATGCATGTGGAGTACAGTAAATTTCTTAAACAGGATGTAAAACATAGTAAAAAGAGAAAAAAATTTAAAAAATTAAAACTACCGAAAACTTAAGAACTTCCCTTTATTGAAAGACATCATATAGAAAATACATGTAAGCTTCATAAAAATTTTTTACTATACTTATATTTACATAGTAGAAGATATTTACAATAGAAATACAAAACAAAAAACAAAGAGTTAACTCAATAAAAATATGGACCAAGTATTTGAATATACCCATCACAAAATACTGCGACTAAACTATAAATACAACAAGGAGCTTAACAGTATTGGTCATCAGGAAAATGTCAACTAAAGTCACAATAAGGTATTAACACACACTCATCAGAATGGCTAAAATAGGTAAAACTGACAACAAAGTGTTGACCCAATGTTAAACAACCAGTATGTCATAAACTTCAGGCTAGATTATCTACAATCTATGGAATTATTTACTAAAGCTGACCTACACATACTCCATGGTTTACTAATTCTTCTCATAAGTATATCTCAAACGATACCCACTATTCACTAAAAGTCTAAAAGTATGAGGATGTTCAAATCAGCATAATTTGCAGTAGTCAAAATGTGTCCAAATGTCCATCAAAAGTAGAGTGATTAATAAATTAATATATAGCATGAGATACTCTACAGCGAGGATCCGAAAACTACACCCTGAGGCCAAAATCAGAGCTAAAAATGTTTTTACATTTTAAAAATAATCGACACAATAATAAATAATAGAAAATCAAAACAATTCAAAGAGGAGTAATATTTTGTGACACATGAAAATTATATAATATTCAAACTTCCATGTTTAATTTTAGTGAAACACAGCAAGGTCAAGTGTTTATATATCATGTGTGGCTCTATTTTCACTACAAATGCAGAATGGAGTACTTCCAACACAGATTGTAAGGCTGACAAAGCCAAATTTATTTACTATCTGGCTCTTTGCATGAAGTTTTTTCAACCCCTTTCAACAATGAGTCAATGAACTTTTGCTACATGTTATGACATGGAAGAATCATACAAACATGATATGGAACAAAGAAAAGATGCAAAGAATACATAAAATTGTATGATCTTACTTATGGAAAAATTTTTAAATGGGCAAAACTAACCTATGCAACAGAAATCAAAGTAGTGATTGCCACTGCTTTGGGAATGTTGGGTGGAATGGGAGATTATCAGGGTGAATGATTTTTTCTTAATCATTTTTGCATCTCCCAATGCTTTACATAGGTCATGTAATTCATAATAATCCATTCATTGATACTCATTAAATCACGAATAATGGGAAAAGAGTAAGAATAATGAGAAAAAATCATGATTGAGGCAGAAAAGAAAATGATCATTCAAAAGAAAAAAATAAGTAAAGAAATAAAAAGTGTAATTTACTCACCTAATACAATAATTAGAATAATATTTAAAATTAAAGATATTGCAAATGTAATATACATGCAAGTTGTCTTCTTACACTTGTCCTTTACACCTGAAAAAAATTAAATTTAGAAACAGGTAAAAGAAAGACTAAATTTGCATTCATAACCATAACTAACAAACTTCTTTTGGCAATTTATTCCGATATTTCATAAGATAACACAAACATATTATTTGTTTGATATATGGAAAAAAACCCAACCCTATTTTTTTGAAATTTCTCAGTTCATCTTTACATTCAATCTAAGTGTCACCATTGATTTTACTGTCATAGTCCAAGGAATCAAATATGTATAATTCTTTAGGGTAGAATTTCTTAAGACCTGGAGCTACCCCCAGGCCTTCAGTATCCTTTTTCTATGGTACAATATCACTACATCCTAACACTCCTTGAATATTTTTAAGAAAATCTACTTTCTAACTAATGAAAAATTTATTTTAAAGGATAGATAGTATAACATATTTGAAAGTTCATAAGTAATCAATCCAAAGATTTGGAATTGAGATTTTTTGCTACAAACGAGCAAAGGAATTTGAACAAGACACTTTTTTTTTTGTTTTTTTCTGGCCTTGTATTATTAGTATCCATTTGGGGAAAAAATGGTACATAAGTTTTTTTGAAATAAAACTCTTTTGTTATTTTATGTGATTATAAGCATACTTAATGTAAAATTTTATGCAATTTTAAATGTTACAGGAGGTACTTATAGACGATAAACTTATTGAGGGCATTTATCATTCCTATCTTTTTCCTAGTGAAGAGCTATTCTTTTGTTGAATAAACATTTTTCCTTTGTGGATGTATGAAAGATATTAAATTTAAAACACATCTAAGGGGCACCTGGGTGGCTCAGTCATTAAGCGGCTGCATTTGGCTCAGGTCATGATCCCAGGGTGGCTCCCTGCTCAGTGTGGAGCCTGCTTCTCCTTCTCCCTCTGCCTGCTGCTCTCCCTGCTTGTGCTCTCTCTCTCCATCAAATAAATAAATAAAATCTTTTTTTAAAAAAGAATTTATTTATTTAATTGAGAGAGAGAGAAATGAGAGAGAGCACATAAGAGGGGGGAGGGTCAGAAGGAGAAGCAGACCCCTTGCCGAGCAGGGAGCCCGATGCGGGACTATATCCAGGGACTCTAGGATCATGACCTGAGCCGAAGGCAGTCGCTTAACCAACTGAGCCACCCAGGCACCCATAAATAAAATCTTAAAAAAAATAAAACACATCTAAATTTCTACTACTTAGACATAACCAGCATTATCATTTGGGTTAACATCCTTCCATCCATATATCTCTCTAATCTTATTTTCACACATATAACCTCCCCCACAAATACACATGATTTTAAATGAGTACAATCATCACGTACCCACTGTTTTATATTCTAATGTTTTCAGTTAACAGTTTGTTTTTCTCATGTGTGGTTGACTGTTAAGAATGGCCCCCAATGAATCATGCCCCCCTGTGTCCACCACCCCTTTGACACATGATCCTGCTCCTCCTCCCATCAAGAGATCTACTGTATTCCCCACCACTTGCATATGAATCACCTTGTGCCTTGCTTTAACCAATGGACTGGTAGAAGTGACACTGAAACTTTAGAGCTCAAGCCTTAAGAGACCTTTAATTCCTACTTTCACTGTTCTGGAGCCCAACATAACAGAGGAGACATGAGCCATTCCTCTTGAATCGGTCCTTATCCCTAAACCTTAGAACCACAAGCAATACAATGATTGTTGTTTTAAGCCACTAAAATTTGGAGGCGCAACAGCTGGATTTATACATCATGTTAAAGAATAATTTGAAATTATAAATTTAATGACCGATAATACTTTTATGTAGCTATACTGTTTTAAAAAAATCGTTTTCTGATGGGTATTTAGGCTGTCCCACCCTTTTTAGTTTTTTTTTTATTTAAAAGATTTTTTATTTATTTATTTATTCGTAAGAGACAGAGAGAGAGAGAGAGAGAGGCAGAGGGAGAAGCAGGCTCCCCGCTGAGCAGGGAGCCCGATGCGGGACTTGATCCCAGGATCCTGGGATCACGACCTGAGCCGAAGGCAGACGCTTAACCATCTGAACCACCCAGGCGCCCCGACCACCCTTTTTAGTTTTAACCAGAATTAGAACTATAGTTTAAATGTCTTGCATGCTTATCTAATTATCCTGTTAAGAAAAAAATGTCAAAGATAAATAAATTGGCATATATTGATTAGATGTTCTTCCAAAAGTATGAGCTATCTACACTATCATGCGTAACATATGAAAATATTGGTACTTATAAAAATTCATAATAAAGTAATTTTTAAGAAGTACCATAAGGAGGGAGAGGGAATGAAGCAAAGAGAAAACTAGCATTGTTTTTGAGCCACCAGACTGTTATTATTTCAACCATGTGAGAAATATGATTAGGAATTATGTCTAACCTGTGTGTTTCTGCCAAATTTCTGAAAAGTCCTGTCATTAGTTGTGCATTTCTTCTGACCATCTGGAATTTCAAAGCTACATAATAAGCATCAACTGCAATATTTCACTTGTGTACCACCAGCACTGTGTTTATTTGTTCATTCTTTGACAAATATTTACTGATCACCTACTATGTGCTAGTTTCCATAAATATAATAATAAACAAAATGACATAATCTGTGCTCTCCTGGAATTTGCATTTGGTGGAAAAGACATAGTCAACTGAAAAAAAAAATTTAAAAATTACAGATTGCAACAAGAGCTGGAAGGCAATAAGCAGGGTGATAGATAAAGGGAAAATGACCAGAAAAGATAGCGTGTGTGGGGAGGGGGAATTGGGTGGAAGCGACATTAAAACCAAAACATAACAGTGGCCATTTATGTGAAATAAACCAGAGAAAGCATTTTAAGCAAAAAGAACAGCAAGTTCAAGTGCCTTAAATCGGGAAAGAATTGAAAAGAATGTGGCCAAGTAGAACAAGTTTGATAAGGTCGGAAGTAGCATGGAATAGTGACTAGTTAGGAGCAAAATGATGCTAAGCATTGAAGGCTCTGGGAAAGAACTTGACATTCTTCAAAATATAATGGAAGCCACTGAATTGTTTTAGGTGGGTGTTTGGCACTGCTACATTTATGCTTTTAAAAGTTCCCTGTGATTGGGGCACCTGCGTGGCTCAGTCGTTAAGCATCTGCCTTGGGCTCAGGTCATGATCCCAGGGTCCTGGGATCGAGCCCCACATCGGGCTTCCTGCTAGGTGGGAAGCCTGCTTCTCCCTCTCCCACTTCCCCTGCTTGTGTTCCTTCTCTCGCTGTGTCTCTGTCAAATAAATAAATAAAATCTTTAAAAAAAATAAAAAGTTCCCTGTGACTAGTGAGTGGAGAGACTATTTAGGGAGCTATAACTCTAATCAACTGAATTATGGGGATCTCGTAAACAAGGGTGGTAGCAGTGGAGGTAGAAAAATCTAATGGAGCACTTGGAGGCCACTGATATCCTTGATAGAATGGTTTCAGAGTCACACACAATAAGGGCATGTTGCTGGAAGTAAGGAAGTAAAATCAGCATGTAGACTCAGAGAACTTGTGCTGTGTGTATGAGAGCAAGCAAAGAAGTAGTTAGTTAGAACGAGATGGGTGGTTATTATAGGTTTGGTTTTTTTTTAAGATATAACACATAATGTTTCTTTTATGAATTTGGGCATGATTTAATATGGAAGGGATAGATTGCTAATGCAGGCAAGACAGGGAGGGAATAATTAAATTAAGAAGAAGAATTCTTGCACAGGCTACAGGGGTTGTGGTCTGAAGTACAAATGGAGGGGGTATTCCTAGGTAAGAGAAATGACCCTCCCTCAAATGTACCAAAGACATAAAGAGGAGAAACAAAACATACACCTGTGTTTTCAGCCTTTTATTTCTGTATATGCCTCAGTTCCAAACTGTAGTCCAGGCTCTGTCTAATGGGGTTTTGATCACCTTTCAAGTGTCACCTTATTAATTTCTCGAATTCCCTATTAGTTTTCTTCAAATAATCAGGTATCAAGAAAACAAGTCCCCAAAACTGCTAGAACTCATACAGGAATTCAGTAAAGTGGCAGGATATAAAATCAATGCACAGAAGTCAGTGGCATTCCTATACACCAACAACAAG